TCTCTCTCTCTCTCTCTCTCTCTCTCTTTCTCTCGCTCGCTCGCTCGCTCTCTCCCTCTCTCTCTCTCTCTCTCTCTCTCTCTCTCTCTCTCACACACACACACACACACATTCTACCCTTTGGTGTTTTACTGCCTGGGATAATCTCTATGGCATGGACAATCTCCCTGTCTACGACTCCTGTAGGCTCCTCGAACAGATCCGGGTACTTAGGGACGATAGTCTCTATCTCTGGAGGTGTTTTAACGGCCTCCCTTTTGCAGAGACATAGACTAAGTACATTCCTTCCCCTTGGTTCTGTTTATAATAATTATAAAAGGCAGATGCGCATAAGCACCCATAGGAGTCTACTAACCTACTGGCTTTGTACTTGGTCAGTCTCACGGTTCTCCCACTAGGCAACTCGTGCTTCAACACCTTCTTGTCCCAGTCAAACAAGGGCTTGGCAACCTCGAGGTAGTACATGCCCAATAACATGTCAAAGGGCAACTCGTCGCTCACCAGGAATGATATCTTATGGTTTGTCTCTCCTCCTGCGTAGGAGAAGGTGCATACTACATCTTTAACGTAGTCCTCCACCATCATGCGCTCTTTGTTGGCCAAAGTAGATGCTACCGGTCTACTAAGGCGCTGCACCCGGTCCTTTAGGCATAGTCTGTCAATGCAGTCGCGACTTATGAAGTTTCGTGTGGAGCCAATGTCTACGAAGGCGCCGCACTTGCGACCACCCACATCAACTTCCACAACGAAGTGCTCCCCTCTAGGACCTCTACTCAGTGCCACCTAGGACTCACGAGGGTCCCTTGCCGACCACTCACCTTGAAGGTCCTCTAAGGCCTCAGACACATCCAATGTACAGAGTATAGTTGGGTCCGGATGCGTCTACGGGGTGACTAAGGAGTCAATAGCTTTGGCCATCTCTTGAAACGAGGAGGGTACATCACCCGCTTCAACGAGAGTAGAAGCAACTATAACTTCTACTGGCCCTAAGTGTTTCTTGAGTTGGAGCTCATAGAGGCCCCAGACTGAGAAGAAGAAAACCCACCCTTAGGAGGAATTTTCTGCGAGACCTTCGGGTTCTTGGATTTGAACTGTGTGTGACCATACTCACCAAAGTTAATGCAAGCACCACGAGACCAACGGTCCCGCCACACATCTTGATCCAAACCTGCTCTAACCCAAACAACTATTTTGTTTGGGTTAGCGGCCTGCCCCTGACCCCTTTGTTGACCGCCCTTGCCGCGGCCACCTGCCTTAGTCTTAACTATGGCGGCGAGGTTGCTACCCTCAACACTCTCCTAGCCGTCAAACTCTGCACTCTCCACAAGATCATAAACATCATCGATCTTGGTTTGATTCCCATCGGAATCAACCATCATCAATCGACTACCCTTCTTCTTCCACTCTTGCGGAGTCTTCTTCTTTCTCCCATCCGTAGAAGGGGTTTGAGATCCACCCAACGTAGCCTCTAAGTCTAGGGCCTTCTTGCTGAATGACTCAAATGTGTGATACTCTCTGCGAGCCTCGCTGGCTAATAGATTCCTAATGTCTGTGGGAAGACATCTCAGGAACATGGTCAGCAAGACCTGTGGATTGTACTCCACTCCCGGGACGACGATCAGGCGCTCTACGGCGGTGGTGAGTTCTCGCACAGACTTGTACTTTCTAGTAACAAGTTTCAAGACCCCATCAGTGGCAATCTTTGCCCGCTGAGGGTTGTGCCAACGAGCCTCCACTAAGTCCATAAAGTTTTCTAATGTGTGGGTCTGCGCCCAATCATGCATGTTCCTGCCGAAGCCCTTTGAAGCTACCAATCCATTTAACCAGTGGGCTGTTGAACCCTCTAAGTAGGATGCAGCAATAATCACTTCCTCTTCTACCAGTGTCCTTTTTGCCCTCACCCACACTGGCACCGTTCTCAACCATGTGTCGAGAGCTTCATTCTTCTTGTCTCCTGAGAAGGTTGCAGGTGGGTTCAATGGGGTCTTGGGGTACCAAGGATATTGCTGTCCCGGTTGCGAGACAGGTGGCGACTGTGGTGTAGCAACAGTCGCTGGACCAGAAGATGAAGAAGCAACAGTCTGAGATAGAGCTACTGTTGATGATACACTTGGTGGTGGTCCTGACTGAGCTGCATAGAGGCTTGTCATCGCTGAGAGTGGCAGCGATGGTAAAGCTGCTGGCCGGATCCCTGGCTTATGCAGCGCTTGCAGAATCTGGTCATCCTGCATTGCGTCCATTTTACTATCTATGTACGCATGCATGGATAGGACACTTGCCTTCAGGATCTTTCCTGTAGTGTTGAGTGCGGAGTCCTCTAGTGCCTCTAGCGCAGCCATGTCTGCCTCCCTGCCCTCTAATCTGACACTTCTTTCTTTGATCTCTTTCTCTCGTTTAGTAGCCTGCCTAAGTTCCTCCTCTAGCCTCAAGCGGATCCTCTCTACTTGTTGGAGCTCCATCTGCTCCCGGGTGCGTGGAGGTGGCAAGCTGAACTGCGAGCCCGCCATCTGACTAGTGCCAACCCCTGACGTACTGGAGATTGACTGTGAACTGGTAGGCATACCTAGCCCTTGACCAGTTGAGTTCGCAGCAGTTGCTGCAGTAGTAGCATTACTCATTGCTACCGCTCTAGCGGCTGCTGCTTCTCTTGCAGCCTCAAGATTACGGACCCTAGCTTCGGCCTTTAATCTTCTGTCTTCTCCCGGTTGTAGGGTCTGGAACACTCTAGGGATTCTAAGGGATGATAACCTTGTTAACCTCCTGTCGTCATCTGCACCCTCACCACCCTCTGATCCACTCATAGGTTAGGCAGACGCTGTCTGCACTAATTTCCTCGCTGGAACCTACCGCAACATGCGTATGACCGGATCTAAAAATAAATAATTAAATAAATACCCGGCGAGTTCCTAGTCTACTAGTCAAGCGGCATCAACAACATCTACACAAACTGTACACATTGTCTAACTCTATTCTGATTAGTCTGCACAGAAGATTTGAGGAGAACTGACTATGGTAGATTACAGTCCTACTCTAGTCTGTCTGTTAGGTGTCAGCAGTCGGTCAACCAACTAATCAAAATAAAAACTTAGACTAGTGTGAGCAGATGTATGTACAATGGATATGTCAGTGATGTACAGTTGAGTTCACAATTGGAATCCCCTTCCCCTGTATCCAACGTACCTGTGAGCATCATCAAGCTGCGGTGTCTAAGGTGTGCAACCACGGCCCACCCCTGTGCCCAAGAAGTATGCTTATGACCAGCCTGCCCCATTGTTTATCCTCGCGTGCAATGAGCCTTACGTCTGACTGATCTGGCTGATCAGGAGGGATTTAAGGAGAGCCCCCATCTCCTCAGGAATTATTTAACGTCGCAAACAGGACGACGATCACAGCCAGTGGACACATCAGACCCCAACCAGAAATGTTTATAGACGGTCTGGGAGCGTCTCAATAGGACTGGTCAGTCTGCACACCCCTTCTATCAGTGCAGCAAAGAGCCTTAATGGACAAAGCAGCCATCACATGCGTGTACTAATCCCATTGGGTTGGCATGGTGACCGTGACCCACGTGCTTCGACCAGGGCCCTTCAGAGGCACCGCCCTCTCCTGCCAGATGCGCCACCGGGAAGAATGTCGTCTCTCAAGATAGAGCGCACACGACTCCTTACCAAAGAGAGGACGCTCAAGTTGGACTCACTTCCTCACGGTAAGAAGAGATTGAGAGGGTAGATAAGGAATGGGAACAACATACCTGGAGATAG